AAGCCATCTTCGACCGGCACGCGGTGAGTGGGCGGGGCGCTGTGACTTCCTACAGTGCCCGGCCCGGGTCCTCGGCGGCCTGTTGGTGCTCCCTTCGAGACGAAATTAAACGCGTGGAGGTGGGGTGGGGCACCCCGGGAGGGCCGCGCCGGCCGCGCCCCACCGCGTGGCCGCCAGTGTTGCTACTCGCGCAGAGAGCAGAGAACGCCCCACGCGCCCGGGTGCCGCCGCTTCCTGTGGGATGGGGAGTGGTAGTGGTGTCACTCGCTGGAGGACGAACACACGCCCGAGAATCTCACACCACCCCGACCAGTAACTTTCGAAGATGTCGTCTGCCTTGTGCGTGATTTGCGGCGCGCCGGCGCCGCTCAAGTGCTCGGCGTGCAAGTCGGTGGCGTACTGCGCGAAGGAGCACCAGAAGCAGCACTGGAAAACACACAAGACGGCGTGTCGACCGTTTGAGGTACGTAGACTCCTAAAGGCAAAAAGTGGACCTGCACCCCGCACGCGCACGCGGGGCGCCGAGGGCGCAACTGTCCACCCACCACCTCACATGCTGTCGAGCCGGTTGTGTTGCCTACCCGCAGGGCGCCGTGGACCGCGCCTTCTTCTGAGTTCCCAGGCAGGTGGGTTTTTGGGTCACTGCTTTGAAATATCACCTGCACCACACCAGGTCGACACGTCGCCGGAGTTGGGGCGCCACTTGGTCGCGACGCGGGACGTCGCCGCCGACGCCGTCCTGCTGACGGAGGCCCCGCTGGTCGCGGGGCCGCGGCACCACGACAACCCGCGCGGGCCGTGCTTGGGCTGCCTGCAGCCGCTGCCCGCGGACGTGGCCGCGGACGCGCAGGCCATGTGCCCGGGCTGCCTGTGGCCGGCCTGCTCCGCCGACTGCCCCGGCCTGCGCGACGCGCTCAGCCACCTGGCCGAGTGCCGCGTGCTGCAGGCGGGCCGGCACGTCGTGCTGCAGGACGACTTGCGCTACGACGCGCTGCTGCCGCTGCGCTGCCTGCTGCTGCAGAAGACCAGCCCCGCCAAGTGGCGCACGCTGCAGGCCATGGACGCCAACATGGCTGCCCGCGGTCCCGGGACACTTGTGCACCAGGAGACGCAGGACCGCGTCGTGACCTACCTGCGGGAGAACTTCCTCCGCCCGCTGTCCGTCATCATGTCCGGCTCCAGGGCGACCCCGGACCGCGTAGAAGGGCTGCTGGAGGACTGCTCCGAGTCGACGCTGCACCGCATCGTCGGCGTCTTGGACGTCAACGCCCTCGAGGTAGAACGGTAAAACGGTCTCCCCACCAATTTCCAAAATTGATTCAATAACAAAACCCAACTATCCTCCTCTTTATGTTTTTAGATTTCATCCGGTCTCACCGACATCTCTGCCCTGTACCCCACGGCCTACCTCATGGAGCACAGCTGTGTCCCCAACACGAGGCACTCCTTCACGAGGAGCGCATCTTCCGAAGAGCACGACGCGCGCTTCAGAATCACTCTGCGGTCTGCCACCGACATCAAGAAGTGCGTTTTCTTATACACTTTCTGGTTTCTGCGGTGTCTAAAGGACGCTTGCACGTACCACAGCCCTCTGTTGATTCAGTCCTTTCCCTCCTCGCAAGCAAAGAGTTGCCCTTTACCGTTCCAGGGGCGAGCACATCTCCACCATGTACACGCACATGCTGTGGGGCACGATGGCTCGCCGCGAGCACCTGCTGGCCGTGAAGGGCTTCCCCTGCCGCTGCCGGCGCTGCGCCGACCCCCGCGAGCTGGGCTCGCTGCTCAGCGCGCTGCGGTGCCTGGCCTGCGGCGCCGGCAACCTGCTGCCGTCGGACCCGCTCGACGACAACGCCGACTGGCGCTGCGACGCCTGCGGGGCGCCCCTCGCCGCCGAGCACGTCATCCAGGTCCTGGTTGTCGACGCGTTTGTCACGTCGCGCACACGATCTTACACAAATTACGCCATCTTTATTGTTTAGGGTGTGTGTTACTTTTCTCGCGATGCCTCGTCTGAATTCTAAATGTTTTGAAGGCGATGATAGATGCAGTACCTAGATAATGGCTTTTTGTGGATGGCAAACTGTGGGGCACTCAAAACTTCTTCTTATCATGAACTTTCTTTGAGGGGACCGTTCGAAATGTACCTCCCACTTCCATCCAAAATGACGTGCTTGTTGTTTACCTTTACCTCGTTCGTGCGCCTCGCAGGTGGTGTCGTCCCTCGACGAGCAGGTTGGTCAGGCCATGGAGGGCGCGGGCGGCGCGGACGCCCTGGAGGGCACGGTGGCCAAGCTGGAGAAGCTCCTGCACCCGCACCACTACCACTGCCTGCAGGTCAAGCACTCCCTCCTCCAGCTGTACGGCGGCCAGCTGGAGATGAGCCGTCTGAGCGCCCAGCAGCTGCAGCGTAAAGCATGTGAGGGCACCC